CGTTTCCCTCTCACTCTCACTCTTCTTCCTTTCCCAGCTTCTCTCTTTCCCTCTGCCTCTCTCTTTCCCTCTGCCTTTCTCTTTCTCTCTCTTTCTCTCCCTCTCCCTCTCTCCCTCTCTCCCACGCTCCCCTTCCACCCTCCACCCTCCACCCCTTTACACACTTCATTTCCCGCTCCCAATCTTCCTTTCGCACTCCATGAAATCACGCCTTAGTTTTGTGAATCCGGAGCATCGATGCATTTAAATTGCCTCGATAATCTCGGGGAATCCGGAACCGTTAGATTTTTGAATCTCGCGCGTCGCACTTCAGCGCCCGCGAAACAGGTCCTGCGTACGTGATTGGCTGGTTTGAATTGACGATGGTGACGAGGGCGGTTGGCACTTGGAGATAGGTGTGTGTGTTGCGGTTAGGAAGAAGGAATGTGAGGATATAAGGAAGGAAGGAAGGGATGGAAGTGATGGAAAGATGAGTGGAGAGGAGAGGAGGAGGAGTATGATGAAAATAAACGATTCTTCTTCCCCACTTCCCCTCCCTGTCATTCTCTCCTCCTCCGCCTCCTCCTTTCTTTCTTTCTCTCCCTCAACCTCTTCCTCTGCCTTTTCTCCCTCTCTCACTCTCCATCACTTCCACTCTTCCATTTCCCTCCCACTTCTCCTTCTCTCGCGAGTTCCCAGACACCCCTTTCCATTGTTGTGGTTGATCGGAATGTGATGACAAAGGACAACTCTTTAGAAGGAGTTATGAGAAGTGGCTGAAGGGGGGGTTGGGGAGAGCGGACGGTGGAGGAAAGGGGGAGGGAGAGAGGGGAGAGAGAGAGAGGAGAAAGGAGGAATGGGAGAAATGGGAAGAGAGTCGAAAGCAGGAGAGAGGGGATAAGAGGTGTAGATATAAGAGAATAGAAGAGCGAGAGAGAAAGAAAGAAAGAAAGAAAAGGAGGAGGAGAAACAGAGTGAGAAAGATCCAGATAGGATGGAGCAGAGTGAGAGTGAGTGAAAGTGAGCCAGAGATAGGTAGAGAGAGTGATGTGCGAAGGGGGAGGAGTAGAAAATCGATTAGGCTCTTGATGGAAGTGGCGAGACTAGGCCTATGTCGCAACATTTGAGCTCGATGATCACATTGTTCTGTTGTTGTGATTATTATTATTTCTGTTATTATTGTTGTTGTTGTTTTATTTATTCTTTGCTACAGATCGGAAGCAAAGATCTTAGCATTCGGTTGTGGTTTGTTGTTAATGCTATTGTTGTTGTTGTCATCATTATTTATTTAGTTCAGTGCTCATTACTCATTATTGTTATTATTGTTATTGGTGCTATTATATTATTATTATATTGTTATTGGTATTATTACCCTAATGACATCAGTAAAGTAATAATTAGTTCCATTGTCATAGTTATTGTTCCTTTTGTTGTTTTTATGATGATAATAATGTTAGCAATGACGGAGATAAAAGATAACTTTACAAGTTCTGTTTGTTGTGATAAGTTAATCATTGGTAGGCTAACACCCCCCCCCCAACACACACACACACACACACACACACACACATACACACATACACACACTTTTTTTTTCCTTTCTTCTTCGCTGACAATCACAAGTTATGGATATCACTAATCACTGCTACAATCAGCACCATTATCATCACTATCACCAGCATCGTCACCATCACCATCAACATACCTTTTATCACAGGGGGGGGGGGGTCGAGGGGTCGTGAAATAGTGCGGGAGAGTTGCGTTTTGGATGTTTGTCTTCTCTCTGTCTCTCTATTTATCTATATCTATCAGTGTATCTATATCTATATCTATACATACATACATACATACATACATAAAACACACACACACACACACACACACACACACACACACACATAGATATATGTTTGCATGTATGTATCGTTGATGCGTTGGACAGCAGCCTCTCTCGTGCGCGTCAGGTGAGACGCAGAGCGAGCGGGTTAAAAGTTTTCCCGCGGCCTCAGGTGCGCAGTCACTCGCCGCCCATTGTCCGCCTCGGGGTCAGCGCGTGCATGAGAGAGCCACCGAGGCACTGAGGCTGCAGGATGAGATGACGTCATAGAATTCGGGGAAGCGGCGGAGGGCATTAGGAGAGATAGAGAGTAAGGAGGCTTGCGTGTTGACATATTTACTCGAGTAAATATCATGACTACTCGCCTTGCGCGGCCCACGGCGGTCGGGGATCAATGTGGGGAGTGTGGCCGGCCCTTCTCCCTCCCCCCTTCCCCCTCCCCCTGCCCCCTCCCCCCTGCGCTCTCTGCCTCATGATCTCCCTGGCACTGCGCTCGCCCGGCTCTCTCGCTTATTCTCATGTGTTTACCCTTGGCTTCTCCTTTCCCTCTTCAGAAGGAGGAAGAGGAAGGTCGAACACTTTTAAGAATGTTGAAGAACTCAACGCGGACGAGAAAATAAAACGAAATGAAAATCAAGATTTTTGGAAAAGAAATGAGAGCGTCCATTATCGAGAAAAGTTTGTGAATAACGGATGCCCCTATAAAGAGGGTTAAGTTGTGGACAAACGAGAGAAGTGGCGAGCATTTGCGGCCGCGGTAAAACATCTCGAGGGACGCCGGCCAAGAGCTGGGGTGTCGGCGGGGAGTTTATGAGGAGAGAGAGGGGGGGAGAAGGGGGAGGAATGGGCGAGGGGAGAGGAGGGAAGGAGGAATGGGGAGACGAGGAGGAGGAGGGGAGATAGGCGCGGAGGGAGAGGAGGGAAGGAGGAATGGGGAGGCGAGGAGGAGGAGGGGAGATAGGCGCGGAGGGAGAGGAGGGAAGGAGGAATGGGAAGACGAGGAGGAGAAGGGGGAAGAGGGAGATGAAAATGGAAGAATGAAAAGGGAAAGGGAGACGAGGGGGAGAGGAGAGGATGAAGGATGGAAGGGAAGGAGGGATGGGGGGAGACGAGGATGAAGGGAGAGAAAGGGCAAAGGGGAGGAACGAGGAGAAGAGGAGGAGAGGAGGAAGCAGACGAGTTGAGGCGAGAGAAGAGAAAAAGAAGGAGACGGAGAAGAAGAGAAGAAACATTTTCCCAGAGGACAAAAAAAAAAACAATCAGGAAATCAGTATATATTATTTTTACAAATAATAATCCCTCACACATAAGAAACGGATAATTCTTGATGGTACGAGACAGCAGAAAAATAAGCAAATGAAAGCTACATAACACCACGACCAGAGGGAAAAAAGTGTAGTCATTGTCCACTTCGAAACAGTGATAAAAGCACATGGCTTATAAAGGGTCATTATAGAGGAATTAATGCCATCGTTAACTCAGCTGTTGGGTAAGGAGGGGGAGAAGGGACCTTGCCTTTCCTTAAGGGCTTCTTGGAGAGGAGAAAAAGGAGAGAAGAGAGAAGGGCAGAGGAGGAGGAGTGAGAGGAAAAAAGAGAGCGGTTTATGATGAGGAAAAAGGGAAGGAGAGAACGAGAGGAAGAGCTGGGAGTGGTAGTGGTAAGGAGAGGGAAAGAGAAAGCGAATTCAATATATATATATATAGAGAGATATATATATATCGTGAGAGAGATAGAGATAGATAGATAGAGGGAGAGAGAGAGAGAGAGAGAGAGAGAGAGAGAGAGAGAGAGAGAGAGAGAGAGACAGAGAGAGAGAGAGATAGTATATATAGAAAGAGGGAAAGAGAGAAAGAGAGAGAGAGAGAAAGAAAAAGAAAAAGAGAGAAAGAGAGAGAGAGAGAGAGATAGGTAGATAGATAGATAGATAGATAGTATATATAGATACAGCTATCGATATAAACCAGATAGAGAAATGGCTCCACAAATCCGATGTTTTCAGGCGTGTTCCTCCCCCCAAGAGGGCGAGAAAGCTCCACTCCCAAGTTAAACAGAAAGAAATCCGGGCGAGCAACAGGCACCAATTACGATTCCTAATAGATCATCGATTTTCCTGTGATTAGGCTGCCTCTGCGCTGACCTCCGTTAGGCGGCCGACGCTGGGCCCGGCCGCTCGGCGTGGCAAGGGCCCTCACGTGCCCCAGGGCTGAGAGGCTATCAGAACGCACGCATGCAGGCGTACACGCACATACACACACACGAACTCACGCACGCACATGCGTTGACTCACTCACACACACGCGCACTCACACTCACTCATTCACTCACTCACTCACTCACTCACTCACTCACTCACTCACTCACTCACACACACACACACACACACACACACACACACACACACACACACACACACACACACACACACACACACACACACACACACACACACCACCCTCTCCCCCCATTCTCTCTCTCTTACATATATATATATATATATATATATATATATATATATATATATATATATATATATATATATATATATATATTACACATACAATATACATAAAACGAACACATTATTCCAGAGCTATAATTCAGACGCACAGGAGATAAAAGCCAAGCCACTGAGTAGACGTGCGGTTTCAGTCAGTGTATCGATTTGTGTCTGTCTGTCTGTCCTTCTCTCTCTAATAACAGCATGTTTACGCTCCTTTGTTTGTTTGTTTCGTTCTTTCGTTTGAACTTGCGTTTATTATTGTTTGTTTTTATTGTTGGTTTTGTTTTTACTTTCTTTTGTTTGTTCTTACGTTCTCTTGTTTGTTCTTACGTTCATAAATCTACTAGTTTATCCTTACGTTCGTTTGTTCTTTCTTTTTGTTATTACTTTCTTTCGTCTATTCTCACGTTCACTCGTTCATCCTCTCTTCCGTCTGTTCACCCGTTCATACGTTCTTCCCTCTGTTCTTATGTTCACCCGTTCATCCTCTCTTCCGTCTGTTCTCACGTTCATCCGTTTATCTTCTCTTCCGTCTGTTCACCCATTCAACCGTTCATCCTCTCTTCCATCTGTTCACCCGTTCATCCTCTCTTCCGTCCGTTCACCCGTTTATCCATTCATCCCCTCTTCCGTTTGTTCATACGTTCCCCCGTTCACCCGTTCTTCCTCTCGTTCTCCCGCAGTCATGCAGGCCAAGAACCTCATCCCCATGGACCCGAACGGCCTCTCGGATCCCTACGTCAAGCTGAAGCTCATCCCCGGCGCCGACAACATGAAGATGAAGACGAAGACGATCAAGGCAACTCTCAACCCCACCTGGAACGAGACACTCACCTGGTAGGTTCCGTCCGCCCCTTCCCCTGGGTGTGTGGGGGGGTGGGGGGGTAGGGTGTGTGTGTGTGGGTGGGTGGGTGGGTGGGTGTAAGGGGAATGTGTGTGTGTGTGTATGTGTGTGTGTGTGTGGGTGGGTGTAAGGGGAATGTGTGTGTGTGTGTGTGGGTTTGAGTTTGTTTTCCACCGCCTAGTTTTACGTTTTGTGATTTCTTCATAGGCCTAGTATATTTCTGTCTTTCTATCCATTTTCGTATCTCTGGCTTGGCTAAGAGAAGACTGCTTGGTAAAAGTACTTTAGACATTCGCTTACTAGTCCGTGTTATATTTTATTTTTTTATTACTATTTTTAAAGAAATATTTTTGTGTATATATGTATGTTTGTTTGTTTGTTTGCGTGTATGTGTGTATGTATATTTGTATGTATGTATGCATGTATGTTTGTGTGTATGTGCGAGGTCTCGGTCTCGTATCTGGCTTGCCTATAGCTGTGACAAGAGGGCTGTTTGGTAACGGTACATTAAGCCCTCACCAGGCAAGTTCTTTTTAGACTTTGACCCTTATCTGCAGGCGTTATTCGTTATATAATGTTTTATCTCTTACATAATGTCTCATTCTTGTGTCTCTGGTATTTTTTAACCGTTGCAAGAAACCTATTTGGCTTGACAGTATTTTAGATTGGCATATAAATGAATATTGCTTTTTGTTTTGTTAAGAATGTAGTCGTTTTGTAGACATTTATAGATATAGCTTCAGTCAGGCTGTTTGCACGTAATCCTTACCCACACACTACCTCGTTCTTCGTTGGATGCTTAGCCTCTTAGCGTTTGCCCCTGGATCCACGTACAGTCTGTGCTGTCATTGCTTTTGCATGTTGCAGTTAATTTCGTTGCCTATCACATGTTGTTTAATGTTTAAATGTATTACTTTTACCTTTACGCTGTCTGTCTGCCTCTCTCTCTCTCTCTCTCTCTCTCTCTCTCTCTCTCTCTCTCTCTCTCTCTCTCTCTCTCTCTCTCTCTCTCTCTCTCTCTCTCTCTCTCTCTCTTCTCTCTCTCTCTCTCTCTCTCTCTCTCTCTCTCTCTCTCTCTCTCTCTCTCTCTCTCTCTCTCTCTCTCTCTCTCTCTCTCTCTCTCTCCCTCTCTCTCTCTCTCCCTCTCTCTCTCTCTCTCCCTCTCTCTCTCCCTCTCTCTCTCTCTCTCTCTCTCTCTCTCTCTCTCTCTCTCTCTCTCTCTCTCTCTCTCTCTCCCTCCCTCCCTCCCTCCCTCTCTCTCTCTCTCTCTCTCCCTCTCTCTCTCTCTCTCTCTCTCTCTCTCTCTCTCTCTCTCTCTCTCTCTCTCTCTCTCTCTCTCTCTCTCTCTCTCTCTCTCTCACCCTCTCTCACCCTCTCTCTCTTTCTTCTTTCCTCTTTCTTCTTTCTTCTTTCTTCTTTCCCTCTCCCTCTCCCTCTTCTTCTCCCTTTCCCCCTCCCTCTTCCACTGTCTCCCCCACACCTCCCACCCTGGCACCCTCCCCTCCACTGCTTTCAACCAGCTGCCTAAGTCACTCGCCTTGCAATGTGCCCAGAAGGTACGGCTCGAACAAATAGAAGTGCCATTGTCAGCAGCTCTTTTTCGCCCTTTCTTCGCAATTCTGAACTCGCTTAATCAAATTCCGTACCTGGAATTGTTCAAAATGCGAGCGAGACGCGAGTGCTTTTACCTGCGTAAGTCTACGGTGCCGAGAACCCACGTTTCACTATCTTCTTTAATCGAGTATTTTGCGAAGTGAAATATTTCGCATGTTACACGTGCATCGAAGCGCATCATGTTCGCAGTCGTGGTGCGCGAATAGAATATTTTATTGTTTGTTGAGTTAGGTCATTTTATTCGATCATTTTCGACATAACAAAGCCAAGAAAGATGACGCCTCGCCCGGTCTCACCCCTCTGTATACTGTACGTTATTTGTTGAGCCTTGGTTGACCTGGCCGTATCGACCCACCGACCTGCTCTCCCGCCTCACCCATAATTCAGACTTAAAGCTCCAAATTCATCGAGAATGTGATGGTCTCAGCCAACAGCACGGGCTCTACCTGTCTTATATTACCGCTTCTGATGAAATTCAAATGCTCCGAGGCTCCAGGTTATCGGGTGAAGGTGGAACATTTACTCTTGCGTTCATCCCCGTCTTGTTAGTGACTTGTTCTAAGTGCCCTTCCCCCCTCCCCCCCCTTCCTCATTCTGGCTTAAAGCAGCTTGTATCATTTTGTCATTCCTCTGATCTATTGCGGATGCCCGTGATCTTCGTCGTAATTCTGAGAGGCGGATTAGGATGCTGTGTCACTAGATTGAAACCTACGAACGTATTGCAAACGCATTCAGTATATTGTTGGTGAGACTATTGCAACATTAACAGATCCAGATATTTTCCCGTGCTATTGTTATGCATTAATCAGATCAATATATTACAACGTCTTGCTTTTTTTTCCTTGCTTTTGAATGAAAGGAAACCATGGATGGGAATATAAAAAAATGTCACCTTGGACGAAAACATATAAAATTGCAAAGCGTAAATTGCAGATTAGAAGACGCCCCAGTGCCTCGTCCCTGTGTCTCTCGACGTGAAAGCGACCAACGCCAGACTAATATATCACCGGGAAGAATAGAAAATAATTATATTATTCGGAGGTTATAGTAGCCATTATATCAGGAGTGATGAGCTCTTTCGATAGAATGTGTGTGGAATTTTATGAGCGTCAATAAGCCTAATAGTGAATTATGAATCTGGCGATGAATGTTTTAGCGTTAATGGATTGAGGCGTTCAGGATGATTATAATGATAGCAGTGATTTTGTTAAATGGTAGTTTTGATATGAGGAATTATGATATTGATTAAATGATGATATTAAAAATGCGATATGAAATAGAAAATAATAGTATTACTGATAATAACAGCATTCCTAGCTCCTGTGAATAACAATACTAATGATTATTATTATTTCGGTTTGTGTTGCACGCTTTACGATCTGAGATATACAATTTCTGCCGCTTTTTTAAGAAATAATTTGCTTCGTAATGACTTGGTGTCCTTTCCCGCCTCGTCCTTTTTCACGTGTGCCAGCCCTCCTACGTTCTCATTATGAATAATCAAAGAAAAATATTGTAGTGTAATTATGCATCCACCCACATGTACATTAACATTCACATGTGCTCGGATAATCCTTGCTCCCTCCCTCTCCCCCCTCCCCCCCTTCCTCTCCTCCATTTCCCTCATTTTTTTTTTACTCTCTCTCTCTCTCTCTCTCTCTCTCTCTCTCTCTCTCTCTCTCTCTCTCTCTCTCTCTCTCTCTCTCTCTCTCTCTCTCTCTCCCCCTCTCTCCCTCTCTCTCTCTCTCTCTCTCTCTCTCTCTCTCTCTCTCTCCTCTCTCTCTCTCTCTCTCTCTCCCTCTCCTCTCCTTCCTTCATTCTATCTCCCTTACCCTCTCCCTTTTCCTCCTCCCCCGTCTCCCCTTCTCTGACGAAGCTCAGTCTCCCTGCTCTCTCTCCCTCCCCCTCTCTCTCCATTCCCGTCGGTTCTGTCTCTATCCTCCATGCTCTCTCTGTCACCCTCTCCTTTGCCCTCCCCCTCCCCCTCTCTCTCTCCCTTACCCTCACTCTCTCCCTCTCTCTTTCTCCCATTCCCTCCCCATCTCCATCTCCCTCACCCCCTCTCCCCACCCCAACCCCCTCTCCCTTTCCCTCCCCCTCCACCTCCCTCTGTCTGACGAAGCTCCTCGCCGCCCGCAGCGAACTGAAACCCGAGGACAAGGACCGGCGGCTGCTGGTGGAGTGCTGGGATTGGGATCGCACGTCCAGGAATGACTTCATGGGCTCCATGTCCTTCGGTATCAGCGAGATCATCAAGTCCTCCGTGGAAGGATGGTACAAGTTCCTGACGGAGGAGGAGGGCGAATTCTACAACGTGCCCTGTCCGCCAGAGGGCACGGACATCTCCAAGCTCAAGGAGAAGTTTAGGGTGAGTACCCCTAGGAAGTCCTTTTTGTATGTGTGTGTGTGTGTGAGTGTGAGGATGAATGTGAGTGTGAGTGCCTGTGTCTGTTTTTTTTGTATTAATTGCGTTGGTGATGAAGGAGGCAACTTAGGTGCTGACGCTAAATGATGGTGATCATTTAGTACCATTAAGGATTATAGTACCATCAACGTTGCTCAAGAAACGCGGTGCTGTGTATTCTTCTGTGTTCTTCTCGCTAGCTGTGCTTGCACGTCGGAAATAATGGCGTCGCGCGTGTCTTCGACTCCGCGAAGTTAATTTGTTCATCTTAGTTACGACTGTGATTGCCGGAAATCGAATCATCGGCTCATCCCCTTCGGCAGCTGTCGGGTCTCGTGGGTGCCGCCGATGGAGGCCGCCGAGGGAGGCCGCCCGAACTCAGCCTCCTTCTTGAGAGTTTGCTTTATTGCGAGGTTCAAGGATCGAAGGAGTGAGTCCTCCTTCCTCTCGCCTTGTCTCATTGGCTGACAGGAAGGCCGCGAGAAGGAAGGAGGGAGCGAAGGAGGAAGGGAGGGAGGAGAGGAGAGGAGAGGAGAGGTCAGGTCCCGAAAGTATCTTTTCTTGGCAGGAAGGAAGGAGGAAGGAAGGAAGGGAGGGAGGGAGGGAAGGAAAGGAAGGGCACTGAGAAAGCGAAGCGAAGAAGAGGAGACGCACTGGATATTCACAGAGGGGAAACTTGGGGAGACGCAGCGGAAGAAGAGAGAGAGACAGAGACAGAGACACACACAGAGAGAGAGAGAGAGAGAGAGAGAGAGAGAGAGAGAGAGAGAGAGAGAGAGAGAGAGAGAGAGAGAGAGAGAGAGAGAGAGAGAAAGGGAGAAAGGGAGCAAGCGAGAGAGAGAGAGAGAGAGAGAGAGAGAGAGAGAGAGAGAGAGAGAGAGCAAGCGAGAGAGACAGAGATAGAGAGAGAAAGAGAGAGAGAGAGAGCCCAAGAGACCAAAGACAGCACAGGATGACGACCGCAGGAAGAGACGAGACCTTGGAGGGCCGAGTGGGGGGCGAGGGGGGCGAGGGGGGGGAGCGCGTCCCGGGGTCGCCTCCGCCATGCGAATATTGGGTTATTCATTCAATTAAAACTTGGCGGCACTCGAGCCTGCTTTTTGCGCGCGGGGGAAAAGTTTGGTCTTCGGTGGTACATTTAGGCGAGATGAGAACATAAGTCTGGATTAGTGCCAGGTGTACATTGTCTGGCTTTTACCGGGCAACAGAGGCGCGGAAATAATTAAGAGAACTTTTTTTTTTTGAGATTTTTTTTTTTTATAGATTAACAAACCAGCGAGAGTACTTTGGGACAGATATTGAGAGTTTGAAATACCAAGGAACGGTTATAGGACTAATGATATTTCTTTTTATTGATTCATGATAAAAAAAAACTGAATCTAGTGGGGAAAATGACCATAATTCGCTCCTCCTTTCCTTTTTCTTCATGACGGGTAGGGATAAGGGGATAGGGGAGAGGAAAGAGAGGGGAAGGAGAGGATATTGGGGGGGTGGGGAGGAATAGCAGAGGATTATGGGTAAAGAGGAAAGAGGGGGGGGGGTATTCGAGGAAGGAAGGAGTAAGTAATGCTCGGTGTTACTTAGTCCGCGGTCATTTACGAGGTCGGAATGAGAACGAATCATGCGCCGGAATGCGGGGCGTCCTCGGGGGTTCGGCGTGACTGGGGGGGGGGGGGGGGCTTGTGGTGTCTTGTGCGCTGGGGGTGTCCTTCATTTATTTATTTTGTTTTATTTATTTATTTATTGAGGGCGGTGTGTGTATGGGGGGGGGGGAGGTAGTGTTTTCGTGGTTTAGTGGTTCATTTTTTAGGGAGGGTCTTTAATATTCTCCGTCTTTGTCTCTGTTTCTCTCTCTCGCTGTCTATCTCATTCTCCCTCTCGCTCTCGTTCTCGCTCTATCTTTCCAGTTTCCTTCTCCTTCCCTTCTTTGTCCTTCCCTTCCCTGTTCCTCTCCCTCTCCTTCCCCCTCTCGTTTTCCTCTTTCCTCCTCCTTTCCCTCTTTGTCCTTCTTCCCTTCCCTGCTCCATTCCCCCCCCCCCCCCCCCCGTGCGATCCGAGGCCGAAGTGCCGGCGCAGAAGGGGTGTTTGCCGAGCCCTCGATAGTAATACCGGCACAAGACGGAATTGTCATGCGTGTTTCCCGAGGCGTCGCAAGCCTCCGATAGAACGAGATTTCCAGCACGTTCTCCTTTGTCTTTTTATTCGCTTTAAACTCTTGTTTTTTTTCTTTTTTCTTTTTTTTTCTTTTTCTTCGTCTTCCGGTAAAAGCCTATTTTCCGCGCGTTCTGCTTTGTCTTTTTATTCGCTGTAAACCTTTTTTTTTATTCATCTGTTTTTTTTCGGGTCTTGTTTATTCGGAGTTTCGAAACATCGTCGCGTTTCGTCGGGAAGGGTCGAAGCGGGACGAGAGGGAGGTGCTTCGTCCGCTTTATTTTGAGTCACGCTTCTCTGTTGGTTATTTGCATGATTCAGGTCGTCGGGGGGGGGGGGGGGGGGGAGAGAGGAAGTGGGGAGGGAGGGAGGGAGGGGGGCTTGGTGAGGGAGGGAGTGGAGTTGGTGAGAGAGGAAGGGGAGGAGGGAGGGGGGTTGATGAGAGAGGAAGGGGGAGGGAGGGGGGTAGCGAGCGAGAGGAGAGAGAGGAGGGGGGTAGAGAGTGAGGGGGAAAGGTTGGAGGGGGAGGGGGGAAGCTTAAGGCGGAAGAGGATGCTATCATGCAGGATGAAATAATAAAGCTGATCGATTCGTATGATCACACATTTTATTCAGTCATCTGCTCGTGAATGATTATACTCTATTGCATTATTCTCTTGTTTATTTATTTTACTTTATTTATTTATTTATTTATTTTTTTTTTTTTTTTTTTTTTTTTTTAGGGGGGATGTTTCAAATAAGATACAGATGTCTTATGCGAATGAGTTCATTATAGCAGGCTAGTCCATAGAAGAAGAGGTGACTTAGAGTTAATTAACTGGGAGAAAAAAGGTCGGAATTTAAAGGTGAAAGTAAATGAGGTGAAAATGAGAAAATGTTATTCCCGCTCTCGCTGTATATATGTATGCAATTAGTTCGTTTCTATTCATATGAAAAGATGGAAAAAAGTAAATAAAACCAATAAAGATAAATAGAAGAAAATGGCATTCGGATGAAGTGCAGAAACGACGCATAGGCAAGAAGAGGCAAGAAATAGGGAAAGGCAGGAAGTGAAATGCAAGAAGAGGCAAGAGGCAGATGAAGGAAAGGCGCAAGAGGCAGAGAGTGCCATCGCGGCAGACAAGAATTGCACATCTTGCAAGAGCTGGTGGGGCGTTGACGAGCTCTCCCCCCCCCTCCTCTCCCTTTCAAGCCGGCCGTGAGGGACCTCCTCCCCATCCCTCTTCCCCCTTTCCCCCCTTTTCCCCTTCCCCCTTCCCCCCTTCCCCCCTACCCCACCTTTCCCCCCTCCCCCCTCCCCCCCGGTGCATCAACGACTCGGGGGGGGGGGGGGGGGCGTATCCTCAGCGCCCTCCGGAGAGAGAGAGTTATGGGGACAGATCTCGGGTCGCACCTGCAGGAGGGCCGGTGTTTGCGTGAGCCGAGGGCCGGTCGGGTCCCCATCGCGAAAAGACGTTTTCCCATTTTGTTTTTTTCTTTTTTGGCATTGTCGTACTGTTATCATCATCTTCGTTCTTATTATTATATTCATTGTTATTGTTATTGTTATTATAGTTGTTGTTTTCTTGTTATTGTTATTGTTTATTATTATCGTTGTTGTTTTCTTCTTATTGTTATTATTATTATCATTATTATTATTACTATTATTATATGTGTTCTGGCTCCTCCTTCTACCATCTTATTTTACTTTCGTCACCGTCTCCTCCTTCTTATTCCCTTTCTCCGTTTCATTTTCCTGTTTCTGTGCCGGCTTTCTCTTACCTTTTTGCATCCATTTCCCTACCCTTTTATCTCCTCCTCCCCACCCTCTCCTTCCCCTGCCCTCCCTACCTCTCCCTCCCCTCCCCTACTTCTCCCTTCTCTACCTCTCCCACCCCTCCCCTCCCCTCTCCTACCTCTCCCTCCCCTCCCCTCCCTCCCTTCCCCTCCTCTCCCCACCTCTGCCTCTTCCTCCTTCCCCGTCGTTTCTCATTCATCTTCCTTCCTTCCTCCACAGACTCTCCCCACCCTTCCCCTTCCTCCCCTCCCCTCCCCTCCTTCAAACCCTGTCCTTTTCACATTCCCCCATTTACCTTCCCCCTCTCCTCCCCCTTCATATTCCCTCCCCTTCACCCCTCCCCCCTCCTCCCCTCCCCCCTCCTCCCTTCACATCCCCTCCCCTCACCCCACACCCACCCCTCCCTCCGTCACATCCCTTCCCCTCACCCGACCCCACCCCACTCTAACCCCCTTCATATTCCCCCCTCCCCCCCTCCCCCCTAACCCCCATCATATCCCCTCCCCCCTCTCCCCTCCCCCCTTTACATCCCCAAGCATCCTGTAGAAACGAAAACGCAAGAGGAAAGAGAGGCTCGCGTGTTAATTCTTACGCCATTTGTCTCCGGACGCGACGGAGAGGGGTCGGGAGGAGGAGGAGGGGGAGGAGGAAGGGGGGTGGGGGGAGAAAGAGGAGGAGAGGGAGGGGGAAGAAGGAGGAGAGGGAGGGGGAAGAAGGAGGTGTGGGAGGAGGAGGGGGAAGTGGAGGAGGAGGAGGAGGGAGATGAGGAAGAAGAGGAGGAGGAGGAGGAGGAAGAGGAGGGGGAGGGGGAGTGGGGAAAAGAGGAAGAGGAGAGGGATGGGAGGAGGAGGGGTGAGGAAGGAGGAGGGGTGAGGAAGGAGGAGGAGGAGGAGGGGTAGGAAGAGAAATAGAAATAGAAGGAAAAGGAGGAAGAAGATAAAGAATGGCGATAGATAGAGAGGAGAAGGAGGAGGAGGAAGATAAAGAGGTGAAACAGAGAGAGGGAGAGGAAGAAGAGGAAGACGAGAAACAGGAA